ATATGCAAAGTTCTTGAAAGAACTTTGCACCAACAAGAGGAAGTTGAAGGGAAATGAGAAAATTTTGATGAATGAAAACGCATCCGCGGTTTTACAAAGGAAACTTCCACCCAAATGCAAAGATCCCGGAATGTTCACGGTTCCTTGCAAGATTGGGGATGTCACTTTTAGTAGTGCTATGCTTGATCTTGGTGCCTCTATCAACGTTATGCCCTACTCGGTGTATGAATCATTGAATGTCGGACCCTTAAGTGAAACCGGTGTCATTATCTCTCTTGCGGATAAATCAAGTGTCTTTCCTAGAGGTGTTTTGGAAGATGTCCTAGTGCAAGTGAACCAATTGGTCTTCCCGGCGGATTTCTATGTGATTGATCTAGATGAGCAAGTATCATCCAAATCGGCTCTAATCTTGCTTGGGAGACCGTTCTTGAAGACGGCTAGGACAAAGATCGATGTGTATGCGGGAAGTTTGACAATGGAGTTTGATGGTGAAACAATAAGTTTTAATATTTATGATGCCATGAGATATCCTAGTGATGTTTCATCTTTGTACTTTGTTGATGTTGTCGAGCCAATTACTCAAGAATTGTTCGAGTTATCCAACGGTGATATATTGGAGATGATCTTAAGCAAAGGGTTCGATTGTGGAAAGCTAGCCGAGCAATTAAAGCTTTATTATTTGAATCCGGAAGTTGAGAAGCTAGTAAATAAAATGGAGATGAAGAAATCCACAAGATTAGATGTCAAGCAAGTTGAATTGCCCCCATCCCTTATTCAACCACCTGAATTGGAATTGAAGGTCTTACCTCAACACTTGAAGTATGCCTATTTGGGGAAGAATGAAACCCTTCCAGTTATCATTTCAACTCACTTAACCGAATTTGAAGAAGAACAACTCGTCAAGGTGTTGAAGGAGCATAAAGAAGCCATGGGATGGACGATTGCGGATATCAAGGGATTGAGCCCCTCCACTTGTATGCACAAGATCTTAATGGAGGATGAATGCAAGCCGAAACGGGATGCACAAAGAAGGTTGAATCCGCCGATGATGGAAGTGGTCAAGAAAGAGATTTTGAAGCTCCTAGATGCGGGGATGATCTATCCAATCTCGGATAGCAAATGGGTGAGCCCGGTGCAAGTCGTTCCAAAGAAGACGGGGATCACGGTGGTCGAAAACAACAAAGGTATAATGGTCCCCACCCGTGTGCAAAACGGGTGGAGAGTATGTATTGACTACCGCAAACTCAATGCAAGCACACGAAAAGATCATTTCCCATTGCCTTTCATTGACCAAATGTTAGAAAGGTTGGCTGGGAAATCCCATTATTGTTGTCTAGACGGGTACTCTGGTTTTCACCAAATTCCGGTGGCACCGGAGGACCAAGAAAAGACAACTTTTACATGTCCATTTGGCACTTTCGCATACCGTAGAATGCCATTCGGATTGTGTAATGCCCCGGCCACTTTCCAGCGTTGTATGGTTAGCATCTTTTCGGAATATGTTGAAAACATAATTGAGGTTTTTATGGATGATTTCACGGTATATGGCAACTCTTTTCAAGAATGTTTGACCAATCTCACAAAAATTTTAAAAAGATGCATTGAAACAAACTTGGTTTTGAATTTTGAGAAATGTCATTTCATGGTGAGTCAAGGTCTCATTTTGGGTCACATTGTGTCTAAAAAAGGAATTGAGGTAGATAAGGCCAAAATTGATGTTATTCAAAGCTTACCTTACCCGACTTGTGTTCGGGAAGTTCGTTCTTTTTTGGGCCATGCAGGTTTCTACCGAAGGTTCATCAAGGATTTTTCAAAGATAACAAGACCAATGTGCCAGCTCTTGCAAAAGGAGGTTGATTTTGAGTTCAACGAGGCGTGCAAAGAAGCTTTTGACAAGCTTAAAGAGTTGCTTACATCCGCTCCCATCATGCAAGCACCAAATTGGGATCTTCCTTTTGAGATCATGTGTGATGCAAGCAATTACGCGATAGGCGCCGTCTTGGGTCAAAAGAACGGGAGGGCATCCCATGTGATCTATTATGCATCAAGAACACTAGACAATGCTCAAAGCAACTACTCTACCACAGAGAAGGAGCTATTGGCCATAGTGTTTGCTCTGGAGAAGTTTCGACAATATCTACTTGGCACCAAAGTCATAGTGTATTCGGATCATGCGGCTCTCAAGTACTTGATGACAAAGAAAGATGCAAAGCCGAGACTCATCCGATGGATCCTACTGTTACAAGAATTTGACTTGGAAATCCGGGACAAGAGCGGGTGCGAGAACCTTGTGGCCGATCATCTAAGCCGGATCACTTCAAACGAAACTCCTCTCCCGTTGCGGGACGAGTTTCCGGATGAGCATCTCTTTTCCCTTACTCAATCTATTCCTTGGTATGCCGATATCGTTAACTTTTTGGTCACAAAAAGGTATCCCGACACATTCACACGTGCTCAAAAAGACAAGTTGAAAAATGATGCAAAATATTATGTGTGGGATGAGCCTTATTTGTGGAAACATTGTCCCGATCAAATCATTAGGCGATGTGTACCCCAACAAGAGCACCAATCCATTTTGCAATTCTGCCATGAATTCGCTTGTGGGGGACACTTTGGACCTAACCGGACTTTGAGAAAAGTCCTTGAGTGTGGATTATTTTGGCCAACCATGTCACGCGATTGTTATATGTTTTGCAAAAGTTGTGAGCGATGCCAAAGGACGGGAAACATTTCGCATAAAAACCAAATGCCCCAAAATCCAATCCTTGTTTGTGAAATTTTTGACGTATGGGGGATCGATTTCATGGGCCCATTTCCCGTCTCATTTGGCAACGTTTACATTTTACTCGCGGTTGACTATGTTTCTAAATGGGTTGAAGCAAAAGCCACAAGATCGGACGATGCCAAAACGGTTATCGAGTTTTTAAAGTCTAATGTTTTTGCAAGGTTTGGTGTGCCTAGGGCTTTGATTAGTGATAGAGGGACACACTTTTGCAACAAAATGATGGAGGCTCTATTGAAGAAGTACCACGTGACCCATCGTGTTTCCACAGCCTATCACCCTCAAACGAATGGTCAAGCGGAGGTTTCAAATCGTGAAGTGAAGTCTATTCTAGAGAAAACAGTGAATCCAACAAGGAAGGATTGGAGTTTGAGACTTGACGATGCTTTATGGGCTTATCGGACTGCGTACAAGACCCCGATAGGAATGTCCCCGTTTAGGTTGGTCTTTGGAAAGCCATGTCACCTTCCCGTCGAGGTAGAGCACCGTGCATTTTGGGCGGTCAAGCAATGCAATTTCAACATTGATGAGGCGGGAAGGCATAGGAAACTTCAACTTCAAGAGCTAGAAGAATTGAGAAATGACTCCTATGAAAACGCAAGGATTTACAAGGAGAAAACAAAGCTCTTCCACGACAAGTCCATCTCCCGGAAGCATTTTGAGGCGGGGCATAGGGTCTTACTATACCATTCACGATTGAAGTTATTTCCAGGCAAGCTAAGGTCAAGATGGATTGGACCTTTCGTTGTGATTAAGACCTTTAACCATGGGGCGGTGGAAATTCAAAGCGAAAAGACGGGACAAACCTTCAAAGTCAATGGGCACCGGTTGAAGCCATTCTATGAAGGTTTCAATGCTAATGCCCTTGAAGTCATCCATTTGGATGTCCCGATGTGTTGAAGAGAGCTAGAAGGACGTCTCGCCAAAGACGATAAAGAAGGGCATTTTTGGAAAGCAATGTGCTTTCACCATTTTTTTAATTCAAATAAACCATTTTGCAAAGCGTTTTTTTTGGAATTCAAATAAATTTTTGAAAGGTTTCACCAAACGTTCCCCGTTTACTCCAAATTTTGTCAATTTTTTTTTACCGGGCCTTAAGGGGATCGTTTTGGCTTAAAAAATCAAGTGTTTTGGAAAACTCTCATTTTTGATGTGCAGAAGTACCCGCGACCAGCCCGTGGCCCGAGCCTTGCCCGCGTGAGTGATCAGAAAGTTTTCTAGCAAGTAGACGCGGCCAGCCCGCGGCCCGAGTCCAGCCCGCGTGGGGTTAAGCTCAAATTCAGTTCAGTACACGCGGCTAGCACGCAGCCCGTGCCTCACCCGCGTGGGTTTTCGAAAGACTTGGAGATTTTTTTTTGAGTAACCAGTGCCCGCGGCCGGAGCTCCACCTGCGCGTAAGGTCAGAAAGTTTTCGAGCAGGCTAGACGCGGCCAACATGCGGCCCGCACCCAGCCCGCGTGTTGGCCGTTTAACTGAGATTTTGAGCTGTTGACTGCCTTGACTTTCTTTGACCAAGAGATTTAATGAGTTGACCAAACATTGACCGGGTTTGACCCTCTTTGAACAAAGATTAAACACCTCCAACACTCTTCTTCTTCATTCTAACCTAACCAATTCCCCCATTCTCTCTCTAGAAGCTCAAGAACACTAAACCCATTTCTCACAAAAATCCATTTTCCCGAAGTTCTACCGGTCGGAATCTCACGAAACCACCGCCATTCTTCTCCATTTTTCTTCCTCTACAAACCCCACCTAAATTCCGGTCCGATCTGTGGCCGGAATTCCGGGCGCCACCACCACCCACCACCACATATTTTCGCGTTTTCCGGCCAACTCCGACCACCATTGGAGAATCCGAGCACGGGGTTTTGTTTCTCTCATCAAGAGCTTTCTAGTCATACAAATCTTTCCGCAAAAACTCACGAAAAATTTCCGTCAAATTCCGAGTGCCGCTACTCCATTCGCCGGAAAGTCATCTTGAAGCTAGTTTGTGGGGTTGTTTTAGCGATTAAAGCGTCAAATACGGAGCAAAATTGCAAGCTTGGGGTGTGTCTTGACGAAATCTTTTTGGTGGCACTAGTTCATCCCGGGTCTAAGAAATTGGGTAATCTCATTCTTTTAACTTGATTGTTCATACCTCAATTTCCCATTTGTTGTTGGTATTGTGTGCATTTGTTGTGGTTGAAAGTTATTATCGGTAAAATTTTGTCCCGAATAAATGTTCAAGCGCGCAAAAACGGGGACGGGAGCAACTTCCTCTAAAGGAGGATCGAAGGGAAAATCCAAGGATCCCCCGTTTCGTTTGTTGAATCGTGAGGATCGTAAAACTTATGATTTTCTCGTTTCAAATAAGCGTCAAGTCAAGTCAACAAAATTCCTCCATAGGGAATCTTTTGCTAGTCTTGGGGTGCTCGATGGAGTCCAAGCGTTATTTAACAACATCGGGTGGGGTCAATTCCTCCATAACCGCGCCGCCACCTATGTTGAACCCACCTTGGAATTTCTTACCACATTCAATCCCGAGGAGGAAGCCCAAACCGTCACCTTCCAAATCCTCGGCGAGAAACGATCTCTACCACATCGGGTCGTGAATGCTTTGATGGGTGCTCCCGTGGACAACCTATATTACCAACAAGACCCATGGCCCGGAAACTTCAATGAACATTACTTTTGGCAACAAATTACCAATGAGCCACAATATTCATCGTCTTCGTCAAAGGCCTCCTCCATAATTCACCCATGTTTGCGCCTAGCGCATAGAGTTCTCACATGCACCATTTTCGCCCGCTCCGAAGTGGGACAGATTTCAAAGGCGGAATTATTTTTTCTTTGGTGCATGACTCGTGAGAACGGTCCGCGGCCGGATTTTGCTTCCTTTTTCTTCACCAAGTGTTACAACCTCACAACTATGGACAAAGGAGACATTTTCATTGGGGGATTAATCACCCTTATTGCATCCCGGCCACCGCTTCAACTTCATCTCTCTACTCTTCCATTCGAGAAGGCTTCCGGCCCCTCTAGTCTTGACGGCAACGCACTTCGCCGAATGCAACTCATCCGGGATTCGGTTGTCGGGCCCATGTGGATCCTTGACAACCAACCATACCTCATTCTCCCCATGAGTATATCGGGAGTTTTGAGCCGACCGATCCCGATCAATGGAACATTCCATCAGACTACCCTCCACCTGTAGATGATGAGGATGACCAATTTCAGCCTGCACAGCAATTCGTCGAGCCTCAGTTTCAGCCACAGCAGCAGGGGGGATACGAAGTTCCACCATATTTCCCCCCTACTTTCTTTGACCAATTTGCCACAATGTTCTCCACGGTGCAGCGTATCGACACCCAAACGCAAGAGAATACGAGAGCCATCCAAGATGTGGCGAGTCGCGTTGAACGATTGGAGCACTCCTTCCCTCCCACTTCCCGCCAGGTCCAAGATATGTGGGACTACCATTATCGTCACGGGCATTTCCCGCCGCCCGACCCACCGATTTAGGTCCTTTCCGCCCTTTCCTTAAGCATTGAGGACAATGCTTGTTCTTAAGCTTGGGGTGGGGCATTTCCCTTATTTTTTTTTACTTTTTCATGCATTTTTAGTTAGGTTGCATAACATATTAGTTTAAGTTAATTTACATTCATTTTTTTTAATTTTTTTTAAAATTTCAAAAAGATTTTATTTTCTTCTTTTCCACTTTTTATTTTTGCATAACATTTAGCTTAAGGCATTAGCATTCATGCATTTTTGTTGTCTGTTTATTCTCACCTCTCTTGGATGCCATGGAACAGGTTCACAGTTATTGTATCATTATTGGTCCAGGATCTTGTTGCTATCTCACCCATCGAATCGGGACCACTAGCTGCAGTTTGGGATTTCATACTTGGGATCAGATGCTGGTAGCTTAAAGGGGTAAGTGATCATGGCCAGGTAGTTTCATGAAGAATTATGCATACAATACTAACAACTGTAGGATATACTATAGCAATGGGTGTTCTTAGCCTTGCGGTCACTACCGCGGAGAGGATCACACTTGATCATGTTTGAACTGTTAGGATGAAGCATTGGTGCTTGTCCCCGAGTAGAATCCATATCCGGTCTCTTTACATCACCATATCTTTTTGCGATTTTCTTAGAATTTTAGAGAGTTTTTTTTTTTTAGTCCACATTTGGACATTTTCATTATCTTTGAAAAACCACAAGTTTGAAAAGGAGCTTACATTACATCTTTATGCTCCACACATGGTCATTTTCACACTTAGGCCATTCGGATTATATCATTACCCTTTCGGTTCCACCGACACACCTTTGGGAACCAAATTTTGAGTCAAAGGGTTTTCTCATAAAAAAAAAAAAAAAAAAAAAAAAAAAAAAACAAAAACAAAAACAAAATGAAGCATGCAAATTTTCAGTTGCAACTATCTTAGATAGGTGGCCGGTTCAATTATTGAACAAATTTCCCAACATCTTGGTCACCCGACGTTTGATATTCATTTGTATAGGTCTGTTTTATTGTATATAGATCGAGTTGTTATTTTTTTTTTTCTTTCTCACAAATTGGTGATGTTAGAGAGACTGTCGAGTCGGATACTACGGGAGGTTTGGGCCAACACTAAGTGAACTGATTCCTACAACGGTGCCCGAGCGATTAAACCTAGTTACACATGAGAGAAACCGGCAGATGTGAGATCAGAGTGTGCACTTAAAGAAGAGCTCCACCCGAGCCCATCCAGTTGCTTTCTCCCTACTACAGATGTTCTTCATTGTATACATGTTCCATTGAGGCTGCGACTGCTCATCCCTCCTTACTCACCTAAAGGAGTTGTCCTGGCTGTGGTTTATGGTTCCATTGTCATCGGATGAAAAAGTTGTGAGATAGCAGCGAAATCAATTCTGACCATGTTGACTAACGTCGAACAGGTTCCATGGTTCTATCCATTCTTTTTATTTCTAGGGTAGTTCATCCCAAGTTCATTTAGTCTTGTCTTACTTGAGGACAAGTAAGGTTTAAGCTTGGGGTGATTTGATAGCTTCATTTTATTTACTTCTTTTTATAGTTTATTTTAGTACATTTCATTCGCATTTTAGTTAACTTCCATGCATATTTTCCCTTTTGTTATTTTTATGACCATTTCGGGGTACTTTCTAGTTTCTTGAGCATTATTGCAGATTTTCTTGGAAACTAGCGGGGCGGCACTCTTGGGAGGCGATTGGGCTTGAAGGGAATTGGAGATTTCATGCTTGATGGCTATGAAGGTGATTCATGGGGTGGACTTGTCAATTGCTTGAAGGCTTGGAAGAATTGAGCTTTAAATTTGAAAGATGCGGGAGAATTCTTGAGTATGCAAGATCAATATTTGGGAGTTTGCGGAAGTTTTGAGTGATGTGGAAAGACAAATTGGGCTCAAATTGAAGAAACATTGAAGAAAAATGGGCTAGAAGCTGATTGGACTCGAACTGGGCCAATGGATTAGCTGTGGGGGCCCAAGACTTGAAGAAGCCCAAAAATTCCCGTCAGTACCCGCGGCCCGCGTAAGATTACCCGCGGCCCACGTGGATTCCTGACAAGGGCAATTTCGGGATTTTGCTTAGAGCTCTATATTGGGAAGGTTGGTGTGCCTCTTTAGCATAATCTTGGAGGTCCGATTTTGAGCTTTTCTCTCTGGAGTTTGGAGCACTTTTTGAGGCCAAGAACACTTGAAGAACATCTTCTTTTCACCTCTTGAATCTTGTCAAATGTTTGGTACAATCTTATCTAACTTTGTTCATTTGAGTTTAGCCATGCTTGGCTAAACAAATCTTGGTTGACTTTTTGTTGAATCCTTTGAACTTTTGTTGGATGTTGAAGAATCTATGAACTTGTTCTTGAATCTTTATGGAAATGTTTTGTGTTTCATCATATTATCACTACTAGTATGTTTTTATTCATGAGTTTAAATATGTTTGTGGTGATTAGTTGGCTAATTTCTTGATTAAGTAAATGATCCTCAAATTAGCAAGCAACAAGTGATTTTTGTGTTGTTTTTGCTTCACACAATCATAAAAACATTTCCTCCAACATGGTGGTGAAAGCAATTGACTCCTCTTGGATTTGGTGATTTTTTGGTTCTTAATGCTAGTTGACTTTCACTAATTACATGCTATTTGGAATTAGTGACTTTGACTAAGGAAATTGTTATGAGCTTCTCTAGCCATTTCAACAATTAAGAAAAGTCTAGGTAATCTCAAGCTCCTTGGATTACTATAACCAAATTAAGGATTTAAATCAAAGTATTGCACTATTGGATTCTAATGATATGTTCATCAAAAGTCAAAGTGAGAAAACTTTAAGTCAACCATCTTTCCCTTATTGATTTTACATCAAATTCGTATTTTTTGTGCAATTGTCTATTTAAATCATAGTTAATTCTAGTTTGTTTCAAGTATTTCAAAACATCAACCCCCCCCATTTTATTTTTATTGTTATTTCACAAGTATTTTTACAAAGAGATTTTTCATAGAGTTATCAAATTGAACCAATCTCCGTGGATTCGATCCCTTTACCACTATACACTATTTTAGTGTGTAATACTTATGGTTATTATTTGTGTTGGCCTCGACAACCACCATTTTTGGAGCTTGGTTTAAGGCCCTTGAAAAGGTTGGGCCTAATTTGGAAAATTGGACCACGTTTGGGCCTTGGGTGTTTATTTTGATTTTGGGCCTTTGGATTGTTGGTTTAGACCTAGGTTTTGGGTCATGTTGGGTAAAGGGTACATTAGAACCGATTATTGATGGGTGATTAACTTGTGATTGATAGCGCGGGGATTCTTGCCGACTAGCAGCCAGAGATTTTTTTTGTGAGATTCAGCAGTGCGAGGTGAGTTTCCTCACTATGTTTAGTGGGTCGAAGGCACCAATGTCGGCCCATGGTTTTCTATGTAGGGTGCTAGATGTCTGCGTGACTCTTGCATGCGTATGTGTTTATATGCTTACTGGGTGGGGCCTAATGGTTATTGTGTATGCTAGTGTCTGGTTATACATATATGATTTGTAGGTGGTCGGGGCCCGATGATTGTACAATATGCTATTATCTTTGTGATTTTCGCATGTGTTTGCATGTTTATATGATTATATGGTTATATGTTTAGTGGGCGGGGCCCGTTATATGTATGATATGTGGTATTTTGGGGAACTCACTAACCTTTGTGCTTATGGTTTTCAGTTTACCTTTCATATACTTCAGTTTTCAAATGGCAGAGCTTGGGATGATTGCAGAGCACACACCACATGTTTCCGCATTCTATGGTTTACTCTAATAACGAGGATGTATTATTAAAGCTTTGGTTACTTTGAATTATGAAAATGAGATGATGTTCTATTTTAGTAATTTAAAAATGAAAAGTTTTGGGTCATATTATTTGGGACGTTGCATTCTCTTTCCGAAACCGTCTTCACTAATGTACAATTCTACATATTCGGTGGTAACCCAACAAATCCAATGACGATGGACGGTTGTCTCTGGTGGTTTCAATAGATCGACTATGGATGATATCTTTTTTGAAAGTGCAGATAAAGGTGTAGATCTGGTGGACGATGGTTGTGGCTTAGTGTAAACATGAGCCGGAGTGGAGGCAAAGATTGAAACCTTGGCTGACGGAGGCTTGGACGCGATGATTACTTGCATATTTGAGGCGACATTTTTATAGATGGTGCTGATATGAGTCGTTGTTGCCGACATTCAATAGTGATAGAAGTAAAGTTGGTCGGAGGCGGTGTCGCCAATGTTCAATGGTGATAGAGGTGAATGAGGTCGAAGAGGAAGGTCGGTGTCGACACAGGTTAGCTAGGGTTTTAGGTTGTTGTCAGGAGTTGGTGAAAAAAAGGGAGACGATGTCAGACAATATATTTAGTGGGTGCAGAGCACCGACGATGTAGTAGTGGTGGAGCGCCGATGGCGATCTCGTCAGAGACGGTGAAGTGCATGAGAGTGAGAATACACAGGTGGGTGGTAGTTCTTGAAAGAAAGAGTAAGAACTAAGAAGAGGGATATATGAAGGTGGGGCCTAATTACTTATTGATTTTTTAAAACTTGTAATTAATAATAATAACAATCTAAAAATAAACAAATGAATAAAGGAATAAGGGCAAAATCATCATTTTATGTCTTGTAAATGATTTAAGAGATGAAACATGCAATTTTTAATGATGTAA